TTTACGGAGACGTCAAAATTTTTTTCATTTTTGCCTCAATTTTCCATGGCTATTTTAAATGTATACCATTTTTCTTCAAAACAAGATGGTGCGACACAAATATGTTATTCAGAATAAATGATAGCGTCGTGTTCGAAACCATGATTTTTCGGAGACGTCGAAATGTTTTTAATTTTTGCCTCTATACTACTATTTTCCATGGCTATTTTAAATGTATATGATTTTGCTTCAAAACACGATGGTGCGCGACAAATATGTTCTTCACATCAAATGATAGTGTCGTGTTCAAAACCATGCTTTTCCGGAGACGTCGATTTTTTATTCATTTTTCCTCTATTTACTACAATTTTCCATGGCTATTTTAAATGTATACGATTTGGCTTCAAAACACGATGGTGCGCGGCAAATATGTTATTCACATCAAATGATAGTGTCGTGTTCGAAACCATACTTTTCCGGAGACGTCGAATTTTTTTTCATTTTTGCCTCTATTTACTACTATTTTCCATGGCTATTTTAAATGTATACGCTTTTGATTCAAAACACGATGGTGCGAGACCAAATATGTTATTCACAATAATTGATAGTGTCGTGTTCGAAACCATGATTTTCCGGAGACGTCAAATTTTTTTTCATTTTTGCCTATATTTACTACTATTTTCCATCGCTATTTTAAATGTATACGATTTTTCTTCAAAACACGATGGTGCAATATAAATATGTTATTCACACAAATGATAGTGTCGGGTTCGAAAGCATGCTTTTCCAGAGACGTAGAAGTTTTTCATTTTTGCCTCTATTTACTATTTTCCACGTCTATTTTAAATGTATACGATTTTGCTTCAAAATACGATGGTGCTCGACAAATATTCTATTCACATCAAATGACAGTGTCGTGTTCGAAACCATGCTTTTCCGGAGAAGTCAAATTTTTTTCATTTTTACCACTATTTATTACTATTTTCCATGACTATTTTAAATGTATACGATTTTTCTTCAAAATACGATGGTGGGAGACAAATATGTTATTCACATCAAATGATAGTGTCGTGTTCGAAACCATACTTTTCCGGAGACGTCGATTTTTTTTTCTTCATTTTTCCTCTATTTACTACTATTTTCCATGACTATTTTAAATGTATACGATTTTGCTTCAAAACATGATGGTGCGAGACAAATATGTTATTCACATCAAATGATAGTGTCGTGTTCGAAACCATACTTTTCTAGAGACGTCGATTTTTTTTTTTCATTTTTCCTCTATTTACTATAATTTTCCATGGCTATTTTAAATGTATATGATTTGGCTTCAAAACAAGATGGTGCGACACAAATATGTTATTCAGAATAAATGATAGTGTCGTGTTCGAAACCATGAATTTCCGGAGACGTCGAATTTTTTTTCATTTTGCCTCTATTTGCTACTATTTTCCATGGCTATTTTAAATGTATACGATTTTGCTTTAAAACACGATGGTGCGCGACAAATTGTTCTTCACATCAAATGATAGTGTCGTGTTCGAAACCATGCTTTTCCGGAGCGGTCGATTTTTTTATTTTTCATTTTTCCTCTATTTACTACAATTTTCCATGGCTATTTTAAATGTATACGATTTGGCTTCAAAACACGATGGTGCGCGACAAATATGTTATTCACATCAAATGATAGTGTCGTGTTCGAAACCATGCTTTTCCGGAGACGTCGAAATGTTTTTCATTTTTGCCTCTATTTACTACTATTTTCCATCGCTATTTTAAAAGTATACGATTTTTCTTCAAAACACGATGGTGCAAGATAAATATGTTATTCACACAAATGATAGTGTCGTGTTCGAAAGCATGCTTTTCCAGAGACGTCGAAGTTTTTCATTTTTGCCTCTATTTTACTACTATTTTCCATGTCTATTTTAAATGTATACGATTTTGCTTCAAAACACGACGGTGCTCGACAAATATTCTATTCACATCAACTGATAGTGTCGTGTTCGAAACCATGTTTTTCCGGAGAAGTCAATTTTTTTTTTTCATTTTTGCCTCTAATTATTACTATTTTCCATGACTATTTTAAATGTATACGATTTTTCTTCAAAATACGATGGTGCGAGACAAATATGTTATTCACATCAAATGATAGTGTAGTGTTCGAAACCATGTTTTTCCAGGGACGCCGAATTTTTTTTTTTAATTTTTGCCGTTATTTACTAGTATTTTCCATGGCTATTTTAAATGTATACGATTCAGCTTCAAAACATGATGGTTGCGAGAAAAATATGTTATTCACATCAAATAATAGTGTCGTGTTCGAAGCCATGCTTTTCTGGAGACGCCGAAAATTTTTTCATTTTTGCCTCTATTTATTAGTATATCCCATGGCTATTTTAAATGTATACGATTCAGCTTCAAAACACGATGGTTGCGAGAAAAATATGTTATTCACATCAAATGATTGTGTCGTGTTCGAAACCATGCTTTTCCGGAGACGTCGAAATTTTTTTCATTTTTGCGTCTATTTACAACCATGGCTACTTTATATGTATACGATTCAGCCTCAAAACATGATGGTTGCGCGAAAAATATGTTATTCACATCAAATGATAGTGTCGTGTTCGAAACCATGCTTTTCCGGAGACGTCGAAATTTTTTTCGTTTTTCCTCTATTTTCAACTATTTTCCATGGCAATTTTATATGTATACGATTCAACCTCAAAACACGATGGGTGCGAGAAAATAATGTTATTCACATCAAATGATAGTGTCGTGTTCGAAACCATGCTTTTCAGGAGACGTCAATTTTTTTTTTAATTTTTGCCTCTATTTACAACTACTTTTCATGGCTATTTTAAATGTATACGATTCTGCATCAAAACACGATGGTTACGAGAAAAATATGTTATCCACATCAAATGATAGGTCATCTTCGAAACCATGCTTTTCCGGAGACATTGAAGATTTTTTCATTTTTTTCTCTATTTACTACTATTTTCCATGGCTATTTTAAATGTATACGATTCTGCTTCAAAACACGATGGTTGCGAGAAAAATATGTTATTCACATGAAATGATAGTAGTAACTATTCATTCAACATCTCTTTTCATTCTACTTTTAAGAATTGAACCGTTCAAACTATTTCGTGTTCGAAGCCATGCTTTTCCGGAGACGTTGAAAACTTTTTCATTTTTGCCTCTATTTACTACTATTTTCCATTGCTATTTTAAATGCATACGATTCCGCTTCAAAACACGATTGTTGCGAGAAAAATATGTTATCCACATCAAATGATAGTGTCGTGTTCGAAACCATGCTTTTCCGGAGACGTCGATTTTTTTTTCACTTTTGCCTCTATTTACAACTATTTTCTATGGCTATTTTATATGTATACGATTCAGTCTCAAAACACGATGGTTGCGAGAAAAATATGTTATTCACATCAAATGATAGTGTCGTGTTCGAAACCATGCTTTTCCGGAGACGTCGAATTTTTTTCTATTTTTTCCTCTATTTACTAGTATTTTCCATAGGTATTTTAAATGTATACAATTCCGCTTCGAAACATGATGGTTGCGAGAAAAATATGTTATTGACATCAAATGATAGTGTCGTGCTCGAAACCATGCTTTTCCGGAGACGCTGATTTTTTTTTTTTATTTTTGCCTCTATTTACTACTATTTTCCATGGCTATTTTAAATGTATACGATTTTGCTTCAAAACACGATGGTTGCGAGAAAAATATGTTATCCACATCAAATGATAGTGTCGTCTTCGAAACCATGCTTTTCCGGAGACGTTGAAAACTTTTTCATTTTTGCCTCTATTTACTTGTATTTTCCATGGCTATTTTAAATGTATACGATTCAGCTTCAAAACAAGATGGTTGTGAGAAAAATATGTTATTCATATCAAGTAATAGTGTTGTGTTCGAAACCATGCTTTTCTGGAGACGTTCAAAATTTTTCTCATTTTTGCCTCTATTTACTAGTGTATCCCATGGCTATTTTAAATGTATACGATTCAGCTTCAAAACATGATGGTTGCGAGAAAAATATGTTATTAACATCAAATGATAGTGTCGTGTTCGAAACCATTCTTTTCCGGAGACGTAGAAATTTTTTTCATTTTTGCCTCTATTTACAACTATTTTTTATGGCTATTTTATATATGTATATGATCCAGCCTCAAAACACGATGGTTGCGAGAAAAATATGTTATTCACATCAAATGATAGTCTCGTGTTCGAAACCATGCTTTTTTGGAGACGTCGAATTTTTTTTCATTTTTGTGATGTGTTAATAGCTAATTCCCATGTTTTAATTCCACACTATCATAACATATTTTCGTAGTTGAGCATGACTCTATTTACTAGTATGCATCAGATAATCATTTGTCCTCTATTTATCTGACTTTACGATAGTGCAACACGAATGGTTTCACGACACTTTTCATTTAGCATACTATTAACACGGCACCGCTGCTAAATATGGTGTGGAATTAATTATGAGTTGACTTTTCTTCTTACTAATTCTAGTAAATGTGATTGTTTTTATATAAGTATAGATTTGTGTGGTGAAAAAGTATACAACGGGAATTTCCTTTGTGTGAAAGGATCATTGGATAGTTGAGCCTTACTATTTTATCAGGTAAATCAAGGGATCCATAGCGTGATTGTATTGAACCTTAATATATAATTTAGTTATAGTTTTGTATTAAAATAATTCTAGCTACTTCCGTGATTATTCTTAGACATATTGAAAATATCTATAAGCATATATATTAATTCCTTGAACTGTGATAAAATATGCAGTATATAAAAATATTAATCTACCTATATAATTTCCTTTAACTATTATTATGTAAAAAAATAATAAATATATAAAGGCAAGATGACCAATACCCACCAATCCGCAACCAACAAAACCCGGATTGCTTGCAAAAGCTTAAAAAACAAAAGCAAATCCATCTACATATCGTTCAACATGCTTCTTGACCGCTCTGCGAATGAGAATGATGATCGGGATGAGGCCTATTCAACGGGATATCGCAATACTCCTTGACGGCTTGAAGAGCAATAGAGACGATGGCAATCATAAGCGGGGCCCACATGGGGTACCTGAACGACAGCGCCAGCGCCGCATCAACCAGTACGACCAACGAGCAATCATGAAACCCGAAATTGATGAAATTCCCCAACAAATTGAACGTGGCCATAACGTGGATAGGAACTAGGCCTTGGACCAAGGAGAACCACAACGCGTCCCCGCGGGCCAAATAACTGATTCCCAATCCCATGAGGACGAGGGACACGTCGGCCAGCTTCTTGCTGCAACGGCCCAGCTTCCTCGCGTGGCAGCCGTAATCACGGAACACAGCTTCATAAGTTATAGAGCACATGTACGTAACTGCCAAACAGGAGATTAATTCGAAAGGCAAGTCGTTATGCTTGGGACACATCTGGAGCTTCACAAAGCCAACAGTGAAAGTCGACACGGACGCCAAGTACCAAAGGACTTCCTTTCCAATCCCCAGATGCGCATATCTATGTTCGTCTTCCATTGAGAAGATCGCTCTACGTAATTTGATGACCAATATCACTAAAAATTGCTTGTGAGAGGAAATAATATTAAGAGCGCGCGGTAGGTTGAAGAGGGAGCACACAACCCAAATTTATATATATGTGAATTATTAGGTAGCCTACTTAAAATTTTCGCTTTCATCTCTATCAAATTTATTCACTTTCCTAATTTTCGCTTGATGACGCCTATATTTATTTACTTTCCTAATCAATATATGATTAGAGTTTGGTTAGTTTAGAGTATCCGAATCAACATTATTCGCTTTCCCGGTTAAATCTCTATCAACACAGCTGTATTTCATGTGATAGGCGTCGATACATCCTTTTTTTGAGTTGTAAAGATAGCCACATTAAGAGCATCTCCAATGCCAAGCATGAATTGTAGTGTATATGACAATTAAATAGAAGATCTTCACGTGTAAGGAATAGATGTTCAAAAACATAAAAATTCTCCAATGGTTTATTTATTCAACTTGGAAAATATAGATCATTCGGTTTTGCCATGAAGCCAACAGTTGGCTCCATAGTGGAGCCAACCTTCTATATACAACAAATAAACCTACCATATTAATAAAATAATTATTTTATTAATATGGTAGGTTTATTTGTTGTATATAGAAGGTTGGCTCCACTATGGAGCCAACTGTTGGCTTCATAGCAAAACCGATAGATCATCATGTCTAACATGACTTCTATAGGTAGAAGGAGTTCTAGATTTTATTCATTCTCTCTCTTGCCATGTCATTATGAATAGAATCTAGACATTCACGGTTGGAGACATTTTTTATTGAACATCTTCAACATTTCTACAATTAACAACCCATTGGAGATGCTCTAATATAGGTTGAAATTGAATAATAATAATAATTAATATTATTACTAAAAAAATAAAATATTCGTAGTATAATGTTCGTTGTAAAAATGAATTCTCCAATTTTCTTATGTATATGAATTATAACTTTATAATTGATTTTATTACATAAGTTTCTAATCAAATTTTAATATAAATTACTGTTTTCACGTGAATTTGCAGAGTGGCAAAAATACTTTGACTTTGGGTTACCCCTGGATGATATCTCTTACCTTCCAGAAAATTGCATTCAAAGAGGGAACTCAAACCTCTTGCAGCTGGGTACATGAGTTGCTTACCCCTAATGGCAAGCACTGAAACTCTGATCTTGTTAATTCTCTCTTTGACAAGGAGACTGTAGATGTTATCTTGAAGCCGAATCATCTTAATCCTGAGAAACATGGCAGTTGGTTATGGCTTAATTCAAAGAAAGGGCCATTTTCAGTTGCTTGTGCTTATTCTAGAATTAAAGATGTGCAGGTTAGAGCTAGGACCTGGAGATTGAAGATCAAAGGAAAAATAAAGCATTTCATCTGGAAATGCTTTTCTAATTCTCTGCCTGTCGCACAGAATCTTATTAAGAGAGAAGTCTCTATTGATCCTATTTGCTCAGTCTATGGAGAAGATGTGGAAACAATTGAACATGCTCTCTGGTAGTGTTCAAAGGCCAAAAGGGTGTGCAGTGTGGCTCCATTAACCTGGGACAATTTTCCCAATCCACCTGCTTCATTAGCTGACTGGTGGTGGAGCATTTGCTCTTTAAGCCACAAGACAGTCAATGAACATAAAATCCAACTCTCAACGTACATACTCTGGTGGTTGTGCCCGCAACTTATGGATTTTTCAAAAACAAGCTATTCCTGAGCAATGCATAGTTCAACAAGCTGTTAGGGAGTGGTATGAATTTATTGCTACTTGACTTGCGGTGGAAGGATGTAAGAGCTATTCTAGGCCCTTGGGCAGCCTAAAGCATGGGCGGATTTATTTTACTCCCCATTATATATCAATGTACAATTTTTACACTATTCCATCAATGTAAGAGATATGCATGTGTTATATATATATACATATATATATATATATATATATATATATATATATATATATATATATATATATATATATATATATATATATATATATATATATATATATATATATATATATATATATATATATATATATATATATATATATATATATATATATATATATATATATATATATATATATATATATATATATATATATATATATATATATATATATATATATATATATATATATATATATATATATATATATATATATATATATATATATATATATATATATATATATATATATATATATATATATATATATATATATATATATATATATATATATATATATATATATATATATATATATATATATATATATATATATATATTACACTTTCGTAGGGGAGGAGTCTTAATCCTATTCAGGAGATTCAAAGTCATTTCTCCATCTCAATTGTCAAGGAAGTCCTGCCTTGAGGGTCACCTACAACTTTGAAATCTGACTATTCCTAGTGCGATTATCGGGTATCCATCGTGTGTTACTACTATTTGGGATTAGTCACTTAAGGTTGCGGACCAAGAGTTCCCGCGCCCAAGTGTCTTATTCACATATTTTTCAATCTTAAACTTTTGTTTTGAATCTTGATTTTTGCAATACGTTACCCGCATTGCGAATATGTGTCGTGTGCGAGACCAAGTTTTTTCAAGGACGTCGACAAATTTACTATTTTCCATAGTATTTTTTATTCTTAGACTTTTGTTTCAAAACTTGATTTTTGCGATGAAAATACGTTAAACGCATTACAAAGAGGTGTTGTGTGCGAGACCAAGTTTTGTAGTAAAAGTCGATAAATGTACTATTTTTCATAGTATTTTCTAATGCTTAAACTATTGTTTCGAAACTTGATTTTTGCGATGAAAATACGTTATCCGCATTGCGAAAAAGTGTTGTGTGCGGGACCAAGTTTTTTCGGAGATGTCAATAGATTTACTATTCTCCATAGTATTTTTGATTCTTAAACTTTTATTTCGAAACTTGATTTTTGCGATGAAAATACGTTATTCGCATTGCCAATAAGTGTTGTGTGCGAGACCAAGTTTTTTCGGGACGTCGATAAATTTACTACCTTCCATAGTATTTTTCATTCTTAAACTTTTGTTTCGAAACTTTATTTTTGCGATGAAAAGATGTTTTCTGCATTGCGAATAGGTGATGTGTGCGAGACCCAGTTTTTTCGGGGACGTCGATAAATCTACTATTTTCCATAGTATTTTTAATTCTTAAACTTTTGTTTCGAAACTTGATTTTTGCGATGAAAATACGTTATCCGCATTGCCAATTGGTGTTGTGTGCGGGACCAAGTTTTCTCGGGGACGTCGATAAATTTACTATTTTCCATAGTATTTTTTATTCTTAAACTTTTGTTTTGAAACTTGATTTTTGCGATGAAAAGTCGTCTTTTGCATTGCGAATACGTGTTTTGTGCGAGACCAAGATTTTTCGGGGACGTCAATAAAATTACCATTTTCCATAGTATTTTTAATCTTAAACTTTTGTTTCGAAACTTTATTTATGCAATACGTTGTCTGCATTGCGAATATGTGTCGTGTGCGAGACAAAGTTTGGTCGGGGACGTCAACAAATTTACTATTTTCCATACGATAAATTTACTATTTTCCATAATATTTTTAATGCTTAAACTTCTATTTTGAAACATGATTTTTGCGATGAAAATACGTTATCCGCATTGCCAATAGGTGTTGTGTGTGGGACCAAGTTTTCTCGGGGACGTCGATGACTAAGGAAAGCAAAGGTCACGAGCTTACCTTCACCGGAAATGGAAAATGAGTGCTAGTAATTTTTTTTTAAATTCTTACAAAAAAAAATAAAAAATGACACTTTAGCTTTGTTTACTTTCTTTTTCTCACTCTAATCCCCCTACGCAATTCCCTTCTCCCGACTAGCGTTTCCGCTCCTCTTTCCGGCGCCTTTCCCTTCGGGGCCTTTCTAGCGGTTGGTGGTGGCGCCTTGGGAGGTGGTCTTCTTCGCCGAGAGGAGGAGGTATTCGTCTCCGGACTAGGTCTCGCTGTGGTCCTAGTGCCAGGACGGAGTTGCGTGCGACCGAATGCTGGGATTTTTCACTTTGACGGTCCTCCGACATTTCTTGGTTGAGGCTCTAATTTCTCCGACTGGGGGTTTAGGGTGGAGGGTTTCAACCTTCGCACCGATGTCTTCTTCGGCCCTGGTGCTGAGCGGAGGGGCCAACCAACGTCGTGGGCCGAAGCCTGGTGTTTTGTAGCTAGGATCTCGTCAATGGTGTCGGGTCGAGCGGTTGAGGGGGACAAGGTCTCTGAGTGTGGATGGGGATGTTCATTTGGATTGGGGTTGGGTTTGTTGTTGTTGGACTCATCTAGGCGCTCTCTTGCAATTTCAGGGTCGGATTCTTAGGTTGTGACTCTGTCCGTGTGGATGAATATCTGGTGGTGTCGTCGTGGTTTCGCTTGGTGTGGATTCCTATGACGGAAAGAGACGTTGTAGTTGTAGTTCTGTATTTTTGTGTTATCCTTGTATTTAGTTTGTGTTTTTTTTTCTCTCCCGTTTGGAATGTGTTTGGTGAATTATCCACCTGTTGGAGCTTTTGTTAGTCTCTTTTGGGAGTTTATAGTATATTTTGTTGTTTTTAGGTTGACTCTAGGCTACCGTCTGTCTCCACAGTCCTCTCAACTAGATTCAACGGTTTATTGTTTTATTCTGCCGTATGGCTGATTATTCGGCTGAGTGGAACCTCTCTAGTCTTCTTTCTTTTGTGAATATATGTGATTTCTATTGTTTCAAAAAAAAAAAAAAAANAAATTGAAAAACAGCCAATGCAATGTAAACTATCTTTTGCTCAATAAATACGGCTCGTACAATGCTGACGGTGATAGTGGACTCTTATATAAAGATACGTTGTCTTATCATCTTTATGAATGTATATCATGATTAAAACTTGCGATAGATTTAAGGCTTACTCTATATATATATATAACTGCTGACAAACTTCAATAAATTTTATTCAATCAACAATTAATAATAATATGAGTTCACTTAATAAACATATGTTCACCATTTAATAAAAATATGTAACTTTCAGTTACAC